TCAGACATTAACACGTGACGCACCTCGTCCCTCTTACAACCAACCAAACACCTTCTCCTAAACATGCCGCTCTATTTAAGCTGCCAGGACTTCCTGCCTCTGCCTCGCTATGCTGCTGCTGCCACTGCTGTGTTCACTTGCTATTGCTACGTTCATGTTCCTGCTGCTGTGTTTCATGTTGCTGCTGCTCGCCTGCCCCACCACCACCCCAGCTTCCACCCCAGCTTCCACCTGTAGGCTCGGGGGATAGTTATCTAATCATCACTCAATGTTCTTTGTAAATCTGTGGAGTGATGAGGCCCGAGCCTAGAGGCCAAACTCAAACTATATGCTGCTTCTAATAAACATATTAAGAAGAAGAGTTGTCTGACTGAACTACATAAATAACTTAAAATTGTGTAAAATACAACCGACACAATGTATAATCTCCCGTCCTGGTTGAAGTTGAAGACCAACATTAGTAGCTCTATCTTTTGTGCTACAGATGGCTTTTGAGTTATTGTTGCCTGAGTGTTTTTCGTTAGTACAGTCAAGGTTCGCTGTGAGTGTTTTTTACTGAGGTATTGTACGGAGAGGTTTTCCCTTCACATACTCTGTTCTTTCATGTCCAACTTTTTCTATTCTGGAGAGTTTGATCTGATATTTTGCTACCTTGATTGAAGATGTTGGACTGCTAATAATAACTGTACAATTTTGTAAAAGCCTCAACAAAGCCTGAAAGGGAGAGCGGGAAACCTTCAAAGATGTTTAACACGTCAGAGCTATATATACAACAAAAATAGGTATGTAGCAGAGACGGAGAGAGATAAGTCTCTTTTAAACGTTTATTGAACAGGTACCTCCTGAAGTTGAGGCTACAATAGATTTTCTTTAAAGATTAAAGCCTGGAGAAAAAATCCACCGAGAATCGATTGAGCCGGTGAAATTATTGTTGCTCCAGAACATTCACGAAATAAATCTTGAGATGAGATCGTTTGAAAACTTTTTTTATCTTTTGAGGTTGTGATAGATATCAAATGAAGCATGATGCAGCAATCTCCCTGGTTACCCCAAGGCTTTTGGTTTATTGTTCGGGATATATTTGGAAAAATGTGTGCAACTGTTGGCCTGATTTTCCTGCTCAGCATAAGTTGCCATCATTAAACCAGGTGTGTTTTGTGAGTCACAGTTGGAATAAAACCATCAATAATGTGTTCTTATCACCTTTTAAAATGCCATTATTATCATACAAAAGCCTACAGATGTTTGCCATATAGTGGCTGGTTTTGTGAAGCTGGTGCCTTGAGTTGATTTCCAGTTAATGCAGCAATACATTTCTATGTAAAGTCCTCTCTCCTCTTTTTTGACAGCTTGAAAAAATAGAATAGAGGAGGTGTTGGGCAGCCTTTTGTCTTTGAAACCACTCTGAAAAGGCACTTTAATGTTTGTTCTATTACTTTTAAAAACAAAAGCATGATAGCTTTAAAAGTCTCAGGTGGGGAGTGTTGGAGTCCAATAACCTTTAAAAGTTATTTTCAGTTCCTGTGTGGGATGCCCTTTAAGATATCTTCTCTCTCTCTTTCTATCTTTGTGAGGGTGATAGAGAGGCAGAGCTCGGCCTGCCCTTCTCTCCTCTGTGCGATCGAAAAAGTACCCTGGTAGCCGAGTCTCAGATTGGTATGTCTCACAAAACACTCACTCTCACTCAGTCTTCTTCTCACTAATATTATATAAGAGAGATTTTTCAACATCCATACTTCTGTTTGATAAAGTCAAACTGGAACTGCTGTGAAATATGTTATAAAACACTGTATTACATTTTTTAAATCATATTTTAAAAGCTCAGAAATATTTATTTTTCTCCTGTTGATACATGGACATTTTGTCTTGCAGGTTTCATAGACTTCATAGTGTATCCCACATTCTCTCTACTGACTGACATGGCTGAAAAGATTGTTATTCCTTTGGTAGAGGAGAACCCAGGCCCACCAGACCCCTGCAACAGACACAGGTAACACACAGAGAAGCATTGTACTGGTTGCTCATTGCACACCATTGCTACCAGTTTGTCCCATTTGTGATATTGCAATGTATGGCCCAAAAAGGAAAGACTCTATAGACCACCATTATAACTGCAAAAATGGTCAACTGTCACTCTTTGAAATTCAAGTTTCTTTCTGAGGCCAGCCAGAAAGCTTGTATATGGGTAGATGAATATGGATAACACTTAAACAGAAATTGACCACACTGTATTTTGTCAACAGTAATCTTTGGAAGGAGAGCTCCAGGGGTCTGCAGTGGAGTCTCGCTCACATCACAGCTGAGCTGGTGAGCTTCCGCTCCACCTGGACACGACACACCGAAGACAACAAGATAAAATGGAAGGAGAGTGGCTCCAATGGTATGTTGTTTATTCAATCATTTATGTTATGAATGTGTATGCACTCTGTTAAGTCACACCTATCACTACAGGGCTTACGATTTAAAAATCCTGAGAAATATTTCTTTCTCTTTTTCTCTTTTGAATTGAAATGATGACCTGTGAAAAGTTGGACAACCTCCGCTAAAGTACAAGACTTTGTGTGACTGATTTGGCCGAGACCAAGCCACTCAGCTCCATAAATGTGCTCAGTCGCCCTGATCTGATTTGTTATCAACACTCATGTCAAAGTGATCTCATGAGGAGATGAATAGGTACAGATATTGTTTCCTGTTCAGCTTAACAACATTTTCCAATGCCTTTTCCAATCTCTTATATCCTCCAGGATTTTCAGACCCCAGTGTGACAAAAGGGCAGAGATCCAGGCAAGAGGAGCTGTCAGAAAACTCCCTGCAAGACCCCACTACGGATTCAGAACAGTAGACAGGACTTTCTTTGTGATATCTGCATTTCATAGGTGAACTGAGGTTAATGCTGAGTCACTGTTTGTTACAAAACCACAAAGCCTTCTTATATCATGGTTTAGGGAGCTAGAGGAGGGCTGGTTTAAGCTTAACACCATCTTCCCAAGGTAAGATGCAATATATTCAAACAAATGTCTTGGTGTCTTATTTCAAGTGAAGTATACTGTGATAATTTAAATGTAAAGTGTACATGCTGGCCATGTTATACAGTATCATGCATTATAATAAATTAATTTGCCACCTATACACTTGTAAGGAACATTGTACCTTTATTAGTTTGAACTGTACACAAATTATAAAATCATGTTATTAATTAAAAAACAATATTGAAAATATGCCGATGTCTGTCATATGTGAAGTTTTGATTTGTTATAATCAATAAATTCAAGCAAACTTTAACTATATTGTCCAACATTACAAAAACAAATGTGTCACTAGGTGTTTTACAATCTCTACAGCAAACAACATTCTCTGTGCGTAGACCCTCGCAGTGGAAACGGTAAAAACACCAATAAACGAGTGAAACATTTAAAAAACAACCTTAGGGAGAGCAACTACAGGGTGTTTCCTCTTGCTTGACAAACATACAATAAATGTAGTGTGTACAGAATAAACAACCCAATAAAGGCTGGCCTTGTCATGGTGCGATATTGTTGCCTTGTATTTTTATTAAGAACATTTTAAATGGGTCAAATAATGAAGTCTTTAATTATTTTCCTTTACCTTTCTGTGTCCTCCAAAAGATAATTACAGTACATTCAGTGGCTTTTTCAACCAACCCACAACTATTATTACTACTACTATGAATTACTATTGCCCCAACACTTCAGTAACTTTAGAAACACTTTAAAACTTAAGAAGGACACGTTTTTGAAAGTATATTTCCAAAACCTGTACTGCATTATGTTGGCGGTCTAATAAGGGAGAGATCAATATTTTTCAAATAAATGTAGCATGAATCAAGACTTTTAGACTATAAAGTTCCAAATCCATCCAATGCCTTGATCTCATACTTCACCTTATGCAAGATAAAATCGTTTTTAGTAAGACCCTTCTTTGACTTTGTAATTCATGCAGTATTATGGTGTGGCATGACTCCAGTGCTCTGCTCTCCCAGCTGGAGGAGCTGTAGAGCAAAGTGAGGGAAGTGACTGCAGGGTCCCCCAAAGGGATCAGCTTCAAACACATTTCCCTAGTTTAACAATTGTCAGTTAGGCAGTTTGCAATTGCATCTTCAACTTTTTTCATCTTAGGACAGTACAGACAGATGAAGCTGTTCTACATTTAAATGAAAAGTCTGGCTGTAAGATTAATAACACGTCAAGGAATAAAGACACAGGTGTGATACCACTGTTTAATGTACACCCCATACACACACTTGCACCCCGACCCCCAACACACAAACACCTCTAGCTATATTACAAAATGACATGTAATGTAATATATAAATGCAAAACAGTAAAATGGACCAATAGTGTCACTTTGAACTTGCACTTTCCATATTGTCTATGAGGTATACAATATCACACTACAAAAGCAACGAAGCATGTATGTGTGATAGCCTTTATTTGGAGCCAATATAGAAGTTATGATCAGTGTCTTTCAATTTGACATAGAAAATTAATAAAAACTTCAACTTTCTGCTTTGACATTCAGGACACGCTGCAGCATATCCTCTTGTCAGAGAAAAACTGTGCAATGTAAGTGATTAACCTCGTAAAGGTCTGATGTCCAATATAGCCTACCTTTCAGCAGTGTACATATTTTTGTGAGAACCAGCCCTCTGTATGAAAAATGTATGTGTTTTTAACTCCCAACTCTGAGTCACTGAATTATTTATTGTCAGAGTATCTATTTTTAGTATACAGTCAATGTAAAACACATGACCAGTGGTGCATTGATGTGAGACACTGTAAGTTTAACTTGAAATTCTTAAAGACTTTCCGCGAACATATCTCTTTTTGATGTTTTAATAAGAAAGCGGATCATGGTATATGGTCTTTTGACACTCGTGACTTGTGAGCTGAGGATTTCAAGCATGCTCTTAACTTGACTGGATGCAAAATCCATGGACTGTACCAAAATAAGTAAGTAAATAAGTAGAGAAAGACCACCAATCACCAATTTAAACATTTTATTGTATCAAACAAATGTAGATTACATGTAATCATCAATAATTTCAAGTAAAATTGGAACAATTACATATTACATTATTACCATTCAAAAACAGAAAAAAACATTACGTAAATACACTACAGAAGAAGAAAATAACTTGCACAGGAATGTTTTTACCATCTTTTTAAATCATTTTGTCATTGTGATCATTGGCTTGTTGTGATCAATACTAGGGTGGCATTAGCTTACTGTTTGTTAACAGTTTTTATTTATTTCTTTTAGGCATGTCTATGTTCCATGTCATGGAAGGATTGTTTACAAATTCTACATAATAATGTCACTATGTGCTAACAAATATCTGATGAAATACATGTAGGATGTAAGAGTTTGGTAATGACTTTATAATTTTCTTGTTTCATAAAAAACTAGAATGAAAAGGGAATGCTGGTAATTACAATTTGTGTCTTGTATTTTTTAAGTTTGATTGGCTTTTGAAATGACCTGTTCAAAACAATAGTACAATAAAAAAAAAAATTAAAGTCACTCTAAATTCAGTGCCATGCAGGAAAGTGTTTTATGACCAGGTTCTCATTTCCCCAAAAAGTGTCAAATATGATGATACAATTTGCTCACTGATGATGCTAAGTTAAAATAAAATAAATCGTAAGCATATCTGTAGACTCAACCCTCTGTCCAAAGCTATTAGAAGTTTACAACTACACAGTTGCTGGTAAAAGTCTTGTATTAGGAGTGTGATAGCTACTTTAACCAGATATTATGTTAATTGGATATTAGCATAGATTAATATGGCCTCCTTGGAAGTCTGACGGGAATCACTTGTATTTATTCCTGTTTGCAGTCAGAAATAATGTTAACAAGTTCAGTTTTTTAGTCGTGTAGTAAATTGTTTTTTGTTTTTTTTCCAAAAGTCTTTGGGGGAAATATAAGATAAAGTCCTTTACTGTACCTCTCATTAGATGGGGGCGTGTGTTTGTGATGGACAGCAGTTAGCATGGTGACCTCAGCAGACACCAAGTAAACAAATGTTAGCCTACATGTGATGGGCAGACTTGTAGGCAGCAGTGCTGCAAAATAACCATGGATAGATTAACGCCCAGGCTTCATTGCAAGGACAACACCAGCATCTGACAGAAACTCGCAGGAAAGTAAGTTTACATGCTGTTTAATGTGCTGCAGCTGAGCGGCTTATTAGCATGCTAACCACCAAACTAGCGATGGCAGTGCTCTTTTCAACTGTGAATGTTTGTTTGGTCGCTCATTCAACAAGCTGCTGGTTTAGGGTCAGACATGCATTCACGTTTGTATGTTCAGGGGAGTTTTGCAGGAAACTGTATGTAGTTCAAGGTGTTGGTGGTTGTTTTGTGTTGCAGGGTGCTTTATTGTTATTTTGATAATGCGTTATGCAAATAGGGATTAAAATGAAGTGATTTGATCGGCTGTATTGAAACAAGGTCCCCATCTACTTGATTGAATGATTGAATGAACCGTGTTCCAACACAATTATACAAAAGTATCAAGTTCTCCATTCAGGTTTCTGTTTTCTTTTAATTAATCACAGGAAACTAAGCAGATGTGCAATGCTGTTAGGGTTACAAGGCTCGATGTTTCTGATGATCATTCTCATGATGAATGGCTTTATCTATGAAATGTCAGAAAATAGTGAAAAATGCCTCTCAAAATTCCCTATAGTTCAAATTGAGTTATATTGTTGGACCAGCAGTCTGCATTTATTCTTTTAAAAAGTCAATCAATACCCTTTTATCAAAAATAGTTACCCATACATTTTCTGTCAATCAGTGCATTGACCAATCTTTGCAGCTCTACATGCTGTAGCAGAAAAAATAACATGCAATTCTATTCCAGTGTTACTTAAAGAATGTATTGGTAGATGTCCAATACAGTAGTGTGAACACATGTGTAAATGTGTTTTCAACTGTCAACCAAGATGTTGCCTATACCCACTCACTGGAGATTCAGCATCTACCTCACTAAATCACTTCAGTTGAATTTTCAATGTTTTGGTTTCGGTCCCAGTTATTTATGAGGTTCAAATACATTTGTATTGCTTTGAATGTAACAATAATTGCTGGAGTCATGGCACATATAATGATGAAAAACGGTCTAAAAATAATTGCAAACAGAAAAGGTGTTGCGTTTGAACATTAAAGGGGACATAATGCATGTGAGTGGAGAAGTGAATGAAATTGAATGTTGGACTGAGATCGCAAAAGTCTCTCTTTCTAATTAACTAGATACAGAAAGCTAGTTTTAGTTCAGTGAAGGGGAAGCTAAAACAAATAGATTTGAATTAAATACGTCACACAAAATAATTTTCGAAACCTTTGTTGTTGTTCTTGGTGTGGCTACTAAGGCCTGACTGTAGAGGAACATGGATGCCCTGATGTATCTAGAGAGTGGATCTGCAGACACAATCTTCTGTCATTGTGTCGGCTGGCTGAGCAGCCCGAGCAGCTTTGTGTTGTGCAGAAGACCGCTCTATTTCTTTTTCTCCAGGCTGCATTTCTTTGTCTTCTCGTCTGCTGGCTGACTCGCACTGGATGCTGCTGCTTTTGTGTCTGCAAAAATAGACAGAGACATAAAACACTTAGGGGCAATAAGATAAAGACAAGTGGCTGATGTGGGGGATCTATTGGAGTCTTGCAGCTAAACAATTACTATTTATGAAGACTTTATGATATATATATATATATATATATATATATATATATATATATATATATATATATATATATATATATATATATATATATATATATATATATATATATATATATATATATATATTAAGTCTTAAAGGAGAGGTGTCATGGCCATTTCCACTGATCATAATTCCATTGTTGAGGTATACTAAAATAGATTTATACTGTGCATTTTTCCAAACTCACATTGGTTTCTCATACAGCATCTCTGTAAACTACTTGTATTCACTGAATTTCACTATTTGCCTTTAACGGCTCGTTGTAGCTCCAAAAGCTCCAGCCCCCACCCTCCCTGTGAGCACAGTGTGCTCTGATTGGTCGGGACGTTGTGAATCGCGCTGAGCTCCGTGGAGGTGTTGCTTCCTTGTTTAGGATACATAGCGAAACACAGCCAAACTCATCCTGAGCACACACAAACTCACATCCGAAGTAAAAACAATAAGTGTGGCTTGATATTGAGTAAGAAAAAGGTTGATAAACGCTGTGAGAATGGGTCTGCAGAGAGAATTTTGCCGCGATCCCAACTATCTGTTATCAGCCTGCAGCCAGGGAGGAGAAATCAGCTGAGCTGCCTGCTCCCTGCACACAGATGTGTGTGTGAGGAAGTCCGTGGATCGGTCAATTTGGACCAATCAGCGGGGGCTTAAGGTAACGGCTCCGCGGACGTAACGTAACGGCTCTTCGGGATTGGTCCATTTCGTTCCGGGTACCGCTTGACATCATGCCGTACCCGGAACGAAATGGAAGACTCAAATGGCCAGTGACGTATCTCCAACGAGGCGTTTTGGGGAGGTATTTTCTGTGTTAGAGTTTTACTCGCTACAGGGTGTACTTTGAGGGTTTTGACTCTGCACACCGTTTACATGCATAAAAACCTTCATAACACACAAGGGGACGGGTAATAACCGGAAAAGCATGACATGGGAGCTTTAATATATTCATATACTACTACCTACAGTAGGGATGGTTGTTTCTCCAATTGATGAGAAGTAAACTTTCCGTTCCTTTTCTTGTTTTTACTACTACTACTACTACTACTACTACTACTACTACTACTACTACTACTACATATACATATACATATACATATACATATACATCATTTATTTTGACTTTACAGTAGAAGGAAGTATTTTTGGCATTTCACTTTCACTTTAACTTGGACAGATCTTTGCGTCATATCGTGCATTCAATCTTATTTATGAAGTGACTTGTGTGTTCGTCATTATTTATAATTTAGATTTATGGCGACAATTATGGCTGGGATTTATATACAGTACAAACATTTTAGTTGAATTAAGACTGTTACGCACTAATTTGTTATATAACAAACTTAATTTTCTTGTTTATAGGCCACATATATTGAGAGAAAGAAGTCAAGAAACAAACAAAATCTACAGTAAAGACAGTAAACCCACAGTATCAGATCAGTCCCCGCTAACACATTTTTCCACTTCCGTATGAGCTGCCTCCCGGGGGTATTTCAACCACAGCAGGGCTTTGTGAAGTGTGGATCAAAGCCACTGCACATATGTTTGTCGACCAGCCGTGATTACATTACACCAAGCCAAGCCTATTGAACTGTTTACATATCTATATAATTATAAACCCTGCCTAGTGAACAGATGATGAAGAGTCCCCTGAGGGAAACTGTTCCTGTGTAAAGGTGGCTCTTTACTCTACCTGCTTGCACGTTGATGTGTTGTGATGAGGGATCTGCTACGTTGGCAAGGCTGGAACAATCCTCCTTCTCCTTGGAGAGGGGGCACTCGAGCCCCCCAGCAGCTTCTGAGAGACTTTCCCTCGAGAACTCTGCAGGGGACAGACATACAAATGCAGGACATCTTGAAGGTGAAGAGAGAAAGCTTTACTTTCCACCATACAGATGTGTGAATAGAATACTCCAATATTTTCTGTTAAATAATGTTAAAGTAATGAACTTCACTGCCTTTTCTTTTGTGTTTTTTTAATCATGCTGAGTGAATTTAAAAGGCTGGTCTTTAAGTGAAACCACCACTCCAATGGATAGTGTTAATGGTCATTAATTTGTTTCCCCTAGTTTCCCCATTGCTCCTTTTATCTGTACAGGGAAACTAATTAGCACCTATGAAGCAACACATACAAAACCTAGTTCTCTTGTTATATGGAGTGTTTTTTTCCTGTGTGTCCCTGAGATTAAAAATAGATAAAAACATTAACCCTTAGATGCACGAGTGACTGGACCCTACACTCTTCAATAAGTGGGTCTAAAAGGACCCGTATTAGAATAATATGTGTTTTTATGCCATTTTTGTCATTTTGGTTAAGAAAAATCTCTTGTATAATATTTAGTATTATATTTTGGTTCACACTAGAAATATTTTATATTTAATTTTTCACTATTTATAATTTTAGAAATTTCTTTTACATTTTGAAAAAAAACGTTTTCCCATAGGATTCCATAGAAAATGCATGCGGGTCAGTTTTGACCCACTTATGGAAGCTTGGGGTACTAATACAAAAACTACAATTTCTTAAAATGTAAATTAAAAATGTGAATGGCATGATATCCAAAACATGTTTTTTGAGGAATAGCTGGAATATGAAATGATACATTTTTTTAATTACAAAGATACTTCAAGAAAACCACCTCACCGGGTCCAAAATTAGAATGGCATGATATCCAAAACATGTTTTTTGAGGAATAGCTGGAATATGAAATGATAAAAAAATGTAATTACAAAGATACTTCAAGAAAACCACCTCACCGGGTCCAAAAAGACCCACTTATGCATCTAAGGGTTGACAAATGATGTTTGCACTTCAGAAAGGCAGCCCTCATGATGCATTAGTGCTAGGTAATTACTGAATGTGTGTGCAGTATGTGCTGTCCTCTCTGACCTGCCATTAAAGTCAATTATTTGGCCTAAGCTAAAAAAGCTGATGCTCTTTTTTCCCCATCAGTTGTTGAAGTGTTTGGCAAAGTGAAAAGACAGTTCCTGCCAAGACAGCCCTTTGAACCATCTTAGTGTAATCATTAAAGGAATTATTCACTTTCTGACAGAGAGTTAAATGAGAGCTTTGATAGCCCTCATACTGTATGTCTGCATGCTAAAAATGAACTGCAGTCGATTTGCTTAGCTTAGCATAAACATAAAACATGGGGGGAAATAGCTTGCAAAGCAACAAAGGTCCATGCACCAGCTTCTTTAATCTGCACAAAAAGTATAAAAATGTCAAACACGCACATGAAAGTAATGCTGGCATTGTCATTTGACTGATTATTGTTTTGGTAGCACTTTACAATAAGACTACCCTTATAAAGGGTTTACGAATAGTTTGTAATTCATTTATTAATTAGGTTGTGAACTTTATAGATCATTAATAAGCTTTTATAAGACATGAGATAAACAGGCCAACTGTGACCGGTTGCTTGCCAAATAGTGAGCCCACATTTATCTGTACTGCTAAGCCTTATATTGGCTACCTAGCTTACTTCGTCTTCTTCATCAGCCAGCATCCTTGGTATGTTGTTCACTGAGTTGATTCTCGCTAAGTAGCCAATATAAGGCTTAGTCATCTTGCCAAATAGTGAGCCTGTGTTGATGTACAGTATGAAAACTGTTAGAACTGGTTTATAAATGGTTCTTAATGATTAATAAAGTGTTTACAACATAATTCATAACCTAATTATAAACCCTTTATGAATCCTTTATAAGGGTAGTCTTATTGTAAAGTGGTACCCATTTTTTTTATGGATAAAACAAATTAAGAAAACTTCAATTGTGAGCTTTTTAGGTTATTGGTTGGATTTTTCTTGTAATTGTTTCTGATATGTCTTTATGTAAAGATAAGACAGTGGGCTGCTGGCCGTAGCTTCATAATTTAGCATGTACAAGTTGGTGTGAGTGGTGTTGATCCAATGTTCTGCCAGAAAGCAAATAAGCATATTTCCTTGAAGTGTTCCTTTCCATTTCCCAGAGACCTTTGTTTAACTTCTTTTAATTCTCCTCTTTTCCCATAACCCGATTTTATATTTACAAACATGCCTTCCAGCCATTTTCCCTTTACCTGCTTTATTTGTCTGCATTACTCTGCTGTTCCCATTTTCCTTCACTTTGTACAACCTTAAAATGTATAAGCTGTATTTGGTTTCATCCATTTACCTTAAAATATTTCACTAAGCTTTTTCTCCCTCTTTCCTCGCCTTCCATCTGCTCTCTTTCATTGTATCATATAATCATAAACATCTATGTCAATGTTTGAATACTTTTTATTTTACATCTTTTCTTGTAGGCTTATTTTTGCAGGACTTTGTAATGTGGTATTTCAACATTGTTGTATTGGAACCTAGTACTTCCTCCAACCCAGCTAAATTGTAAGTTGCAGTGTCTTTTGAGAGTAAGTCATTATTGTATTTGTTAAGGAGATGTATTGCTGAGTAGACAGTTGCAAATGAAATCCTCTTCTTCACAGACTCCAAACATACCCTCCATTTGGCAGCGCAGTTTCTCAAAGGCCTCTGCAGTGGCCTCTGCAGTGGCCTCATCGTCGTGTGGGAGCTCCTCCCCGGGGGGGAATGAGTCGGGGCTGGGACGATCCGACAGGCAGCTCTCTGAGGAGCACTCGTCCCCGCCCCCCTGCTGCTGCCTGTACAGGTGGTGCTCCACCATAAACTGAAGCTCTGTGAGGAGAGACGTGGAGATAAGAGAGGTGAGAGATCAGGGAAATACAAGTTGGTTGGGAGGAAAGAGTTGATACAGGAAGGAGAGGGGAAGATCAGAGGGTTAAGGAGTGGATGGAAGAAATAGTGGAAACTGAAAGTGAAAAGCACCAAATCATTTGGGAACTGTTTGTAGAAGAAGGAGCGAGGCAGGAAACTGGATTAAGAGGGAAGGGAACTCATGGAATAGACGGGGTATGAACAGTAGACATGAAAGAGAGATGGAGGTGGAAATCCAACACTTAAACAAAATATTGTAGGTTAAGCATTTGAATAAACCAGCAAAGTTTAAACAACACCCAGCTGTTTTGGGAGCAGGTAAAGATACATCAGAGTTGGGATTGTATTAGTTTAATTGCATTCTTGTACCTCATTCATCCACAGTTTGTTATTCTCCCTACAGTGTGAAACTAAAGTGAAATGATTATCACCCTGATTTCCTCTAAGAAGTGACTCACCACACTTGGAGCTGTTAATTAATTAATTAATGAACATCTTAGCGCTTCAGATTTATTAATTGTTCCCTTGCTTCTGTTGTTTGTTTGAACTTATTTTTCTGCAGTCCTGCATAAATTATTACATTCTGTATTTGTACTTGATTGGAAATTGATACTGAAGATAATATTTGCAAACGGCCTAGAGATCTTATTCCAGTAGTTAATCTCTTATCCGGCTTTGTGCATTTAGTTTGTACTTCGGGTTTGCTTTAGGTGGGCAGTGTATCAAATGCCCTAATCTCAAACAGGCCCACTTTTTTAGTTTAAAGACATGAACATTTGGACATATTCTTGTTAGGCGATAGGGGACCACGAGTCCATGCTGAGGCAATTGAAGCTCTAATTGGCTTGAGGTAGAAATCGGACACTCAGGGTAAACCAGACTTCCATTAGCTCAGCTTCTCCTAATAAGTTTACATTTCCTGACATCTAACCTTAGATGTCAGATGTCAGATATGAGACATACTAGCTTTGTCCCATTAAAGATAGATTGGCCTTTATAAAACGTTTTTCTTAAAATACTATTGAAACTGCATTACGTATGACTTTTGGTTTATTTATTTCTAGTTTTAGTTTTTTCCCATCCGCTTTATATTTTTTGATGATTTTCCGGCTGGTTATATCATTTGGATTCATCATTTTTTTTATTCAAGATGTCTCTTCCAAGTTTTATTTTTAATTTGAACATATGCTCAATTTGACCTGACATGCGTGACTTTAGTATCTGAATAAAGACAGCTGCCTTAATCATCACCACTGTTTTCTAACCAGGTTTCTATATTTATTGAGATTGAACACATAAAATGTCAACATCACACATAAAGCTAGATGACCGACTCTACCTTTCATGGTAGGGTTTCCCTTTTGCCCTTTTCTCCGTTGTCGAGGGGAGTTCAACAAGGCTGCCTGTAAAACATCAATGTGTTATATCAGCTGGACAGAGAGCACTAAGATGAAGGAGATTATTTCAATACACAGTGAACTAAGTTAAAAAAGGACAAGACAAAAATAACTTGCATAATTATATTTCTGTAACCTTATTCCACTAAACTGGACCCTCATGGAGCATGAATTAAATTACCTTGTACAACTGGTTTGGGAGACGATCTTCATCGATTTCTGCAAGAGAGCAAACAATCTGTTAAGTACTTAACACAATAAGACACAAAAAATAGGGGATTTAAAGCAAAAACTGAATAAACAGGTTGACATTGGGCAGACTGAATAATGTGAATAATAGCACAGTTGACCTGTTCAGTATGTCAGTGTAGCTGCTGTGTCTCCAGAGAGCGAAGGTGACCTCTGGCCAGATGGTTTTCTGACACACTGAAGCCAGTGCACTAAGTGTTTTCTCATATCTTATCAAGCATGGTGGGCAGAATTATGTTTTTTTTCATACTCAGCTCTTAGATGAGTGACAACTTGCTATTTTTGTTTGCAAACGAAGAGGATGCTAATCCACTCATCTTGGTAAACCCCCTCATGCAGCTAACTGCTGATGATTGATAAACAGTAATACAGTGTTTATCCCAAACTCCCAATGGGAAAGTAAGTGTGTAGCATACTGAAATACAGTTTGGGGCTTATTTGATTTACAGTCAGTTGGCAGTGTTTAGGTACACTTGGCTTAAACAAATACAACAGTCCTGCCATCAATCCTACAGTACCTTCATGTCACGTTGTAAGTGTTTCTATTATTTTGTCCAGCCTATTTATATCACTGAGGGTAGGCTAAAAAATCCTCTCTATGTATTGCAATACCGTTTTTTGGCAGTATGTCTGCATTCATTTTGGCTTGGTTTACCGATAAACTGCACTGCATGTTAAAGCAATCGTGTACTTTTTTAGCAAAAGAAGGAAACTCCCACATGATGCTACACCCACGTAAAGCTCATGGGACTCCACTGGATAAAGATTCATCATCCGTAGTCGATATGTGAAACAGGACTCTGTGTTCACTATATGAGAGCACTAAAATAGAAACATAAAGACAGTTTACTGGATTACAGTGAAACCATTAACCGCGATCAGTAGTGATGCGTTGAACCTGCAGCCAACTCTGCCTTTTCAGCCTCGTAACTTTTTTCTAGGACACAACCGTGTTGCTTGGCAACCTATGCATCCCCCGGCACTAGGAAGGCACTGTGAGTGTGTGAGTGTGTGTGTGCATATATTATTTCTACTTAAAAGTACGCGCAAGGCTGTTCGAAATGCCAGTGATGTGCTTGTTTCTTTATTCATCACTCTCTCTCTCTCTCTTTCTCTCTTTCTCTCTCGCGCTCTCTCTGCACCAAACACAAACCCAGCGGTATATTAAACCCTAACACTAAAGTCGTTCATTTCAAGAGGGATTCATCTCTACGCGCCGCGTGTTTACAGCAATGCTCGAAACTGAATCTTATTTTCAGCATCTCCCGGGAGTTCATACAATCATTATGGATCTTGGTTCAAATCAATCCCGGGAAATGGGCCATTATTAGACTATCCTTCAAGTTACAGAGTCACGTTTAAGACTTGTTATCTGGTATTTGACACAAGCTGCCAAACTATATAACTCTGAAATTAGAGTTTCTCGCAAGGAGTGCCAAAGTTAGTTATTTGCAAAAAGACAGCATCATTTAAACGTGTATGTACTTTAAATGTGTTTAAAAAGCATTACACTAAATGGGGTAATCTTATGGAATGATGATGGGACATGAATTCTTACTAATAAACAAAGAAAAAAAACGATAGTACACTTTCATTTTAAATAAAAAATTAACCACAAGTGTTTCTGTATATGAAAAGATGCATGTGTATCAAGTATATGCATAATATTCTTTAGAGTAGGTAGATTGTAGGATATGTTATTGTATACATGCCATTTCTGTGTAGTGATCATTGTTAGCGTATTAAGTTGTAGTTTAAACTTCACTTTTTTCATTGCTTTAATCTGTTTTTGACATTAACAGATCATTAGCTAATAATTTTGTTGTTTTTTTATTGTATTTTCTTTTATGAATAATATATAGCAAAACCCGTTCCCCTCCTGTAATATAAGCAGTTTTATCTGCAGTTTTATGAGGCTTTTAAGTGCCACCAAGTAAGAGAGTATTGTAACTAAAGTATAAGGTGTTTTGACCCTAATAATGAACTTGGATCAATATACTCCAGATAGGGACATAACAGCTTATTACAGTAAGCAGCTGTTCTTTCATTTAAAAAACAGACTGTGTTACAACTGAGAGTAGTAGTAACAGGAGCAGTAGTAGATAACATACTTGAAATATAATTTGGGTCACAAACATTAAATTGGGCTTTCACACGGCAGATTTTTAGATTGTTTTCTTTGTTTATCGAGCCCATCTGTGCTGCACAATGAGAGAATAGAGGCTGTTCCAGCAGTGATGAGTCTATCACTGCAACTCCCAGCGGACTGGCTGTCTGACACAAAGCCAGATGAGAACAGAGACACTCTTCTGACTCCTTATTCAGCCAAGGCGCTCTTATTTGGCTGCCTGAAGCTGATGTCAATTTATATTTTCAGTCCTACAGTCTTGCATTTAAAAGAGGTTTTACTCTTTTGATGTTGTTTACTCTGGCTGTGCAAAGGGCACATAAATTGTCCCTTTGCACAGCATTGCGTTTAAACAAGCAAGATCTTTAAACACAGACTTCATTTGTTCAACAAGAGTAAAGAATTACAAATGCTAATCATGTTAGTGCTTGTAATTGTAACTAGAGACTGTATTTGTGCGCAGAGCTGACAAGCTGCAGCTGCTGCTTTTGCTTGAGGAAGGCAAGCATACAGTATTATTGACAACAAATGTCCTCTTGCACATGTACATTAAAGTTACTTAAAGATTTAGAAAGATGAGACAGCAGTTTGCTTGGCAGAAGAGAATCAGATATAACCAATGCAGCATACATTTGAAAATAAATAAACACTTTCATCATACATTTAGTGTAAAACACATCGTTTTTTCCCCTACATGTATCAATGCCAATGTCGACGCTATTTGCAATAATGTAACATCTACTTAAATTCTTTATATGCCAAAGTGTTTCAGATGGCCGCGCTCGCCCCCCCCACAGAGCTGCTGCTGCTGGTGCCTGTAGAGATGAAGCGTCTCACTGTAAGAACACAACTTAACGTGATCGTTTTCTGAGCCATTAGTAGTTGTTCACGTGTGGTGCACTGCTGCAGCTCATCAGGAAATGCAAAACAGAGGCTAGTCATGTTTCAGGTTGTATAATAAAATACCTTTTAAAAAGTGTTTTTTTATCTTGAAGACCTGACTTTTCCTCTTTAGGGAAGATCAAATCAGACCAATTCTAACCATTTCTGATTCCTCATTATTAAGCCCACAGCCTGCTTTTAAGTTGCCTGTACATCTGTTGCTTTACTCAGATATGCTTTTAGGGTTCACAGTGCACAGGACAGAGCAACGGGCAGGGCTCTGTCTCATGTGGAACACACCATTACTGCACCAGCACAGCTCATCTCCCTCATCATCATCATCATCATCAACTCTTCCTCCAAATCCCCCTTCTCTCTCACACTGTCTGGGTCTCTGGTCGATCTCTGTTTCAGATTTGATGCTTGACTGTTTTTGTCTTCAGAATATTTCCATGGCATGGCTTTTTTGAGACACACTCGAGATTCATCTCAGTGCGAGAAGAAACATACAAAATAAAGAAGTCCGACGACTTTCTTCTAGCAAACATGTTTTACCGTCAAAATAGCCCAAAAATCTGACAATAGATTCAATTAGTTTGGATAAATGTATCAATTCCAGACAGGAAACTGTTGCACTGCACAATGAACCCTTACTAAAGATTGAAGAATTGTCTTCTTTTAATTTATTTTCAGGCAGAACACAAAACAACAACAAATAAGGGAAAGAGTTCAGTTTAAACCTCGTGTAAAATGAATATGACCTGATATATATATTATTAAAATAAACATCCTCTTTTCTTGTAATCTTCTATACTTTTTCTCAGTTTATTTTTTCCAGTGCCTTCACTTCTTCAAATAGATCTCTACTTAATGTCTCTTACTGTAAGTCTCTTCTTCTTTTCTCTCTTCCAGCCTCTGATGTACTAAGCAGGCAGGATTGTTGAGGGTGTTCTCTGCACTTTAATGCAGAGATCAAGGTTGACTGTGAGACACTCCACATGCTCAGAGTCCAATTACTGAATCAATCACAGACACATGTAGTCACACTCACACGCAGAGACACACATTAAGCAAACAGATCCCAGGAAATAATCAGACCCAATTAGAAGGACAGTTGTTTTCAAGATAAAAAAAACACTCAACTCTCAGAGATAAAATGCTGTGAGTTATATATTTTGCCGTCTTTGCTGGTATGCTCAAGAATGCTTCAAATTTTCAGTAAGTCATAAAAAATACCATCTGTTTTCTCACCTTGGGAAATGTACACTCACCGCCTTATCTCAGCAGCTTATCTTCTATTAATTTGGGTCACATTACACACTCATGGCAAAGCACAGCAGCGGCAGGCAGAGAAGCACGGAACCACGGGATGACTCATAAAATAAGATACATCTCGAGAGGGGCACAGTTGTGTTTGATCATTCAAATCCCATGAGAGGACACACACACACAGCTGTTTTTGTTGCTCTAATGCAGCAGGAGAGTTCATGTTCTGCATTAAAGACTTCAGATGCTGCATCACAGAAATACAAATAAGAAATAGAAATGTTTGAAATATTGTGAAGCATATTGTGGCTACTTGTTGTTGTGTGGTGCTTGGTTAAGAATATATTTGTTATTCTGTCTGTATGCTCACTCACCAGTAGGTTTGATTTAAACCTTTGATAATTTGGAAAAAATAAGACATGTCAATTCGACCATGTCCTCAGATTGTAGCAAGTAACTGAGAACGGAAATCCAAAACGGATGATATCCAAATAAAAATATGTGATCCAGGTTTTGAGATATAGAATGCAAATCAATACAAAGACCTTACTGAGGGGGGGGTGTGTGCTTGCATGCGTGTGTACCTTACCAGGTGATGATTGATCACTGGATGCCACTAAAGTGGCAGGTGTGGGTCTGCGTCTTCTGATCTGAAAAAGTAGAACAGTTTGATTTTAAGTGGGGAAAAAAAACTATTTTCATCACAAATGTTTGCCGATATAACAGTAGAGCTTTCTGAACCAAAAATCATCCTATGACTTTGCTCGACTAGCTTCTGGTATAGTCGTTAAGTTTGATGTGAAATATTGACTGATACAAATCTGAAGCACTTCCAGGCTGTAATTTCACACCAACGTTAACCTGGAATGGGTTATATTAACCAAACCAATCAAAATGATTAACAGTGCTTTGAAATGTGCACTTTTTCATTGCTCAGCCATTCAGTGAGAGTGTAGCCCTGCTCCCTGGTACCAGGCCATATGACCAGCTCAGCATCCACTTTCTCTCATGATGCTGGCAGCCCACAACAGACTGTGATCCATAATTGGGTCTTGTTCTCTGTGAAGATGCCTGAGCTGTTTGAGCAGGGCTGGGTCTCACAGTGAGCGCAGGAGTGCAGCCTATACAGTACTTGCATCATGACTCATGACTAGTGGAGTGTGGCAGCTTTGGACTATTCTGGGATAAAACATGAAAGAGCCTGCGTACTTCACTAAGTGGTGCAGAAGAGAGTCCAAACCTGCGGTAGAGCTGTTAGAAACACTCCAGGTAGATGTAAAAATAAGAGTTATATAACCTTTGTTCATTTGAAATGCAAACAGGCCAACATGTCTGTTAGTGTCCAAGATGGTTTTGGGTGATCTCAGATGATTGGGTGATTTTCTTAGTTTCAATTAAGAAAGTTGAATCAGGTAAAAAAGATTGGTTGCCCGGATTGCTAATGAGCCTGAAGCATTCTACAACTTTAAAACGTGTTGAATTAAACTTGACCTTATTGCTGTTGCTGCTAAAACACCTGCATTTCCGTATGGGGATCAATGAGGGTTTATCTTATCTTATCCTATTTTCTCTTATGTTTAACTCAAATAGAGAGAAGGGAAGTGAAAACAATTAAGAAGAAGAGAGATCTTAACCCTAACCAGGAGCAGCAGTAATACATTTTATATTGCTCCTATGCAACATAAAAATCTGTCTGTCTCAAAACAAAAACATCAGCACCGTATGTCCCCTTGCCCAGTTTTTGCTATAAGAATTGTCCAAAAATATGCCCATTGATATACATTTATTTTTCAGTAATTAAAAAATGCTTTCATCTACATTCCTGTAAAACCTCTCACCATAGTCTTTCTGTCAAAAAGCTTAGCACATCTGCATTTTTCAGATTTTTACTTTATTCTCCCATGATCTAAAATGTATTTTGTATCACAGGGTTGATGGATAGTTTTGCTGTTAAATATGCCTCGTCAGGTTCTGCAAATGACAAATGAGATCAGTTTTGCATCTATGTCTCCAAAACTTTGCAACCAAATACTTTTTGGGAGGAAAGGAATCCAGGATTAGGATGATTACTTTCCATTTTATTGCTATATAAACCTAAAAGGCCATGATATAGGAATTTAGATAGAAAGTCAATTCACACGCACACGCACACACACACACACACACACACACACACACACACACACACACACACACACACACACACACACAGACTAATGCACTCCTCACACATAGCTGACAGAGTTGCTGACTAATGCCGGTTGGCATGTGAGGTCCAGTCCTCCATGCATCTTTTTCTAAATGCTGCTTGTGCATTTAAAAAGCTGTGTAGTGTTCTGTAGTCAGCCAGATAGTTTAACCTGCACCGTGTAGCATCACATTGTATTTCATGATACAATGAAATCCGTTTAACTGTTTTCTGTCAAGATGACAAACTAAAGAAGGTTTGAGCTGTACTGTGAGTTCACAATGCAAATCAAATAGATAAGAGTCCTTTAGTGGCGGGTACATTTCAAGATCAATGTAAACACAAAGAGACAGAGGAGAATCAGCTATGTGCATGTTTGACTTTGAGGCTTTGCTTTGCTCAACAAAATGTGTGAGGAAACCTAAAACGCATATAACAAAAACATTACATTAGACTCTGCAGGATGAATTGAAAAATCAGCAGTCAGTGTTTCAAATGCACAGTCTTATTGCGTATTCAACCTTCATCTTCACTACGTTTTAAATCCGACGTAGAGTACAGGAAGGAAGTGTGAATAAGAAGAGGCATTGAGTGACTTTTCTTTAGCAGGCAGGCAGAGATGTTTTACAGCTTTTGACATTTATCCAAAGGGTTTGCATGTCAACTATTCAGGTTCCTCTTGGCGCTGCTTCGCCATCTGTATCCGATGCTATTGTTAATATCTCTCGGAGTAGGTCTGTGTTTATGTCGACATAAACATAGGGAGGTTTCTCCTTGCACAAAATTGTATTGGAGGTCAATCCAATGCTCAATTGCTCAAGCTGCATTTGCACCTGCATCTTCACCAGAAGTGGGCGGTGGTGGCGAAGTCCATAGGGACTTGGCTTGGCAAATGGAAGGTCACCAGTTCAAGTGCTACCGAGGTGTCCCTGAGCAAGGCACCGTTCCCTACACTGCTCCCCGGGCGCCGTTCATAATAGCACTAGGCACTAGGATGGGTCAAATGCAGAGAAACCATTTCATTACATAGTACCTGTACTGTGTAATGACAATAAAAGTGCAAAAATTAAAAAAAGAAGACCGTGTAAATGCAAATACATCCCCAGCAAATTGGTGGCAACTGGGCAAAGAATACCCAATTATTTCATATGATTCAGCTATATGCACATTACTTACTGTAGATAGGAAACCAAGATGAGGTACTAAATTGACACCACTGTCCTTTTACTGTCTACATGTTCGAGTGTCACTGTTTATTTAAACAGAGGGCACCATTTTTCTAAACACGTACATTACATTTTTACTGGGGAAACAAAATACAATCCCAAGTAATGACTCGAGTTGCCTTTGCGTAACACGGTAATGGCAGAACACCTGAATGTAACACACTAACATCTACAGCCCTGATTATTTATATACAGCTTCAAGTATCTTTTGAAAATGATGATCCTAACAATCTACCTATTTTTACATAAACATTTATCAGTAATCATGAATAACTTCAAAACTGACTTCAATCAAACCACACCAGTCTAAAATATTTGTCATTGGCCAGGTTTAGTCTTTACAGCTGTATCACATCAAAGAAGAATATTACATATGCCTGTGCTTTGCAGTGCTGGATTCAAGGTTATTGACTTCCCCTGTGGGTGACACATGGGGTGACACTATGGTTATCTGTAGGTCCTGTTTTACAGATTTGTTTGCCAAAGTTGTTTTTTTTGTCAGGTTTTTCTGTTGTTGTTGTATACTATAAATCCATGTCCTTATATTTAAGCCATGTTTATGTGTTTTGTTGCTATTCTTGAAACCGTCTCAAATCAAAGCACAGCGAGCCATGGCTGTGTACAACTGATTATGCCTGGAGTCATTGTTATTCTCCTCAGCTGGCAGTAGAGCAAACTCCCTGATCCTCCCTCACACAAATACCACCGCTCACTGGACAGGCCCACCGCTCAAACCACCATGCCTCCCTTTCAACCCACTGTCCATTTAAAATGCAGTTCCGTCACTTATCGCAACAACGAACAAAAACAGCCTTCGAAAGTGATGGGTGGGCAGGGAGAGCTATGCATGCCTGATATTCATGTGTGGGGCTGCAGACAAAATGCGCTTGGCTCGAAAATATAGGTCAAGTCAGGCGAGAGTCAAAGTCCTGTTTCATATTTAACACTGGTGCTTGGTTGACATTGGCTTTACCTCTGACTTGTTTCGGGCCACACAAACTCCAATGCAGTCTGTACAAAAGAAATAGGCTATTTTAGGCTAACATTTATTTAGCCTAAAATATTTTTGGGGGGGGAATTTTTCAGGGACCTTTAAATACTACTTTAAAGGTCCCTGAACACTAATCACATATATTAAGCTTATGAACAACCTTTGCATTTTCTCATACTTACTGGAGTCTCTTAAACCCAGAACAGATCTTATGTTCTTCTTTAGTAAACTTTTGAAACATGGCATAATTGTATAATTAGGATTTTAAGCACTTTTTGTAAAATCAGGAAAGCAGTTAACTATCTGCTGATGCTGAAACAAAACAGAAAAGTGTGTGTTTTGAGGCCAGGATGTGCAGCAGCACCCAACAAAGAACATGCACTTGTCCCAGTGCTGATATTTAACATTCGAGTTGTTGTTTTGTACTGAATGCCCACTGTCATTAACATATAAATCCAGTGGAAGTTAATTAGCAGTGTTGCTGGAGCTACAGCTATTGTTCAGGCGTTCTTACTTGAAGCAGATTTGTCCTTAGGAACAATTTTCTTACCGTGAAATAACCAAACCTAAAGCTAATGGAGGTAAAAGAGGTTTAAAAACAAGGTCAAAGTGTGCTCTGGGAAATTCTGACGTGTAAAGCCTTTACCTCCTAACCCTGCTCATCCTTTGAGAAAATCAGTGGTCATTTTGTAATACTTGTGCTATCAGTGTTGCCCTGTGACCTTCACTATAACAATGTGTTTGCACCAGTCAGCACCATACATCAGAAAAAAGGCATTCACACCCGGTAAATTGCTGCAGGAATAAAGGTTAAATAAATCTTTCCCACACCTTGTTATTAGGTGGGCTGAAGCAGCACGGAGCTTTCAGAGACTCACTACAATGCACAGACACATACTCATTTGATTTCTCATTCTGTCATTGGAAATATGATCTTTGAATTGTTCAGGCTTAAAACCTCACAGACTTCTCCAACGGTGGTCTCTAGCTGAATGCTTTCATTAGGGAATTCACTGTTACTCCACTCCAAGGACATTGAAAACCCAGATCAGTGACATCCACTTTATTTTATCTCTGTTTTTTGGTCCTCTATCTCCCCGTCATTTTCTATGAATCCTTTGTCTTCCCTTCCCGTAACAACCCTCTTATCATCGTCTCTCAATGAGTATCATACTACCAGCTAGGGGAGCAGAGTCAAGTGGCAATGCACACGCTTTAACAAAGGCAGGTTGACATTATTTTGTCAATGAATGCAGCCTGCATCTGCTCAGGCCTGTTAACCTGTTCAAGTCCCTGTTGATTGACAAAAGGAGAAACCGAAGTGTAAATGAACTAGAATTGTAATGAATGGGTCCTTGATAAGTAATTTCAGTCTCTCACTTCGATCTAATATAACCCTGTTTAACTGCTTAGCTCATATACTTATTCCTATTTTCAAATTGTAGCCTATGTTTTCACTTTTAACATTACATGAGAAAAGGTGAGGACAAACTTACGAGTTATTCAACTTAACAAGACCATCACGAGCCTTTAACAAATTAGCTTGAGTGTTAACTTTCCCGAAAACAATAAAGCTTTTTTGTCTGTGTTAAACAGTAATTAATATACATTCAGCTTAAACCCATATATTGTAGTTGAATAGGTCTTGGTTGCCATAATGTGTCAGAGCTATGCATGGTGTGATAGTAACTAGAATGTACTGCATATTAAGTAAGGTCTTCTTGGAAAATGTCCCTCTCGAGGCTACAGAGTAATTGTTATGTTCTCAGTCAAGGACATAGTTGATCTGAAACATCAGCATGGGGAATATCAGGGAGGACATTGTCAGCCCTGAAATGTCTGTAAAAGAGGAACATCACCTCAAAATGTCACGACTCATCATCTCAACAAGCACTATACTGCCTTTATTTATGAATATATTTCCTCAGGCAAGGGCCCTCCACCTTAAAAATGGGAAAATGAAATTAAAAATCCACTGTCGGTTGTTTTGGGAGAGGGTTTGATGTTTTGTATTCTCTTTCTTACAGAGAGTTAGCTGAGAAGATCAAATAAAAGGCTTCCATCTGTTGGTTTATTATTAAAACTTGATCCACACGATTGTAACATAGATTCACATAAAGACTGGAAACAGGCTGAAACAGCTAGCTTGCTCTGAAGAAAGATAATAATATCTGCCAACCAGCACCTGTAAAGCACCTCAATTGTCATGTTATACCTCATTTTAAATCTTTATAATAAGGACTCTTTTCTTCCATATGAGTCTGCCGAAAGTCTGCCGCTATCCCAATTTCCAGTCTACTTGTAAGCAAAGCCCCTGGATCCAGCTTCCTGTTTAAAGATATTTTTATTCATAAAGAATAATTATATTTCCTAAATGTCCTATCAAGTAGTCAAACTGTAACACAGCCTGTTCCTAACACTACAATCTTCTACTACTAAGAAGAATATTTGATCAAAATAATCTGGATACAGTACTACTATCCTGGGTCACCGTCAGGTCTTGGCCTATCAGGTACTGTACAGTCAGTTTGTGCTCGTTAGAACACAGTGAGCTCCATCGTAAGGTTATGATAACGTTGGCACACACTGTAACCGTCTGCGGATAAGAGGATGAGTGTGTGCTGTTGTTGTGAGGGTCCGACCTCAGGGAGGCTGTTCTGAATGACGGTCAGGTCTCCACGGAGCTGATTCACCATGTCGGGAGGGGTCAGGTTGCAGAGATTACTGAACCATTGGTGAAGCCCCCTGGCGTGACATTCATAAGTGTGCTTGCAAACACAAAGAAAAAAGCACAAACAAACATTTTCTCTTTCATTTGTTCTTCTCTTTATAGCTGACTTTTGTGCTGTTTGGCTGTCATCATAAAACTACTTAAGCACTAGCATGCCATGCACGATCAGGCCACCCAGGTTTTTTAAACTAAAAGTCTACAGGCACAATGGCAATCAGCCAAGCCATTGTCATGCTTACTGCGGCAGAAAAAATAAGAACAATCTTGAGTCTTTGCAGAAGAGGTAAAGTGAATTTATTGTGGAGCTAAAAGGGGATCTGTCGGCTGGTGAAGAAGAGGTAAAGGTAAACCCCAGGCTGGAGGAGTTTAAGATCCTATATTGAATGGCTGCCGCCTGGGAGCAGAAGGGTGGCCAAATAAATACAGACCGACGACACCAACTCCCTGACACGCAGACACAAACAGTACAGACAGGGAGACCAGACCATCTTTAATTACATCTGTATCTGTCAGGCACATGCACAGAGAGGAAGCATTGAGAATGCAGACTCAAAGAAGCAAACATAATAAGACAAACACACTTTTTACAAATGTACCACAGGCACCAATTCACAGACACGGAGTTTCAAATAACAATAGGACAATAAAATATGCAATAATGTTTCTTAGTTCCACACTGGAACAAACCAATACGTTTCAGGCCTGGATAATCACGCCGTCGAACCATCACGCATGCTCAACTGCTGGCAGATTCATTAAATCCAGAAGATTTCAGACCTGGCTGATTTGGCTATGCCTGTGGTTACCGTAGAGACAAGTGCTATCTACAAATCGCTGTACAGATTCTCATCCTATAATACATTTATAAATCATCACTGACAGTTGTAGAGTTGCTCTGTGGTAGTTTAGCATCCGTAAAAAGTGGATCATTGCATTATGGGTTTGTTAGCAGAAAGAAGTGTACATGCCCTGCAATTGTATTAGAAATGATGATTACCAAATAACAGAATGTCTTATGAATAATATAAATAAATATAAACCTTCTGTAAGCCATGCCAACAGATAGTATATCAATGTAGCTGAGATATTGTCCCTTAGATGGTCATGGGTCTTTTGTCCTTTGACAGAGTCTAATTTCTCATGACTGAGCATCATTGAAATGTATAAAAGCAGACTCTTCAGTCCGAGTAGTTAGTAGTACATTGCTCTCTGTTTTCTTTCTGCCTGTTTTGCAAAAGATGATTAAAGACTCGGAAAGACGACTCTTTGACCAGTTCCTTGCAAGAATGTCCACCAAATCGTTTCATTGTAGAGTTGTTGAGAGCAGTAGATAATAGATTAACCCTGGTCAGAAAGTAAAAACAGATAGAACACTCAAGAAATTCTGAAGCTTAAGAAAATAGAACAAGATATAATGTTAATATATCGAGTAGAAAAATGAAACATTTACAAGGAATATAATCATATTCAGTTCTAGTAATTCAGTATCACTCAATCATTATGAGAAGGGGTTTGTAAGCAAAGGACTCTCTTTAAAACATCACTATAAAGGTTCAAGGTTCAAGGTTCTTTATTGTCAATCTGACATAGCTACAGAGTAATTATGTAGTTGAAAATCTTATGTCACAGGCTTCTCCAACAATGCAACATAATAACATAATAACAATAAGAGCAAGAGCAATACAAAAAGAAAAATAGTTATAAAATAAAGTGATGATGTGGAATAGTGCAGTACAAGTCTATATACAAGTTATTAGAATGATATATAGCTGACATATATAACTTCTATGTCAGTCCATTTATGATAAAGAGTTGCTTTGTTTTTCATTCTGTTAAATGTGTTCAATTGTGCTTTCTCTGCTATAAGAGAACATTACTGCTATAAGGCCTATAGGCTAGTTGTGTCCAATTAAAACCAGTGAATACCTATGAAAACAAGTAATCTTTCTATTTGTTATTCATTGATATCACTTTGTAGATGTCAATTTATTTGTTGCTATGGAGAGAGCACTGGGCAAAAGCGTAACCAGGGAGTCCTCTCAAAGTTACATTTTGTTGTACTCTGACCTTGTTTTCCGCTGACCATTGTCAGTATTAATGACTGACATGACATATCTAAGCTACGCAAAGCTAGTTTGATATTACTGGGAAAATGTCAAAAGTATCAACGGTAACAAAAAATGAAATAACATCACTTCTTTTCACACTTAAAGATTGCAAACCACAAGAAAGAATGTAAACATTTTACATTCTCCTTGTTCTCCTTTCAATTTGAGTGGAAGTTATTACACTTCCAGCTCAAGTCCAATTTTTGTGCAGAGAAGGACATTATGGAGGATTTAAACAGTGTGCTCATTGTGTTCCTCACATTTGAGCCTAATAATACTCATTAGCTCTAACTCAAACTGAGCCTTTTATCCCAAACAATCCAGTGAAATGTCCTCTCAAAAGCAAACTCACATACATGCTAAAAGCAGTCTTCCCAACATCTCTTTTCTTACTGTTGGGAAAAGAGTGACCTGCAGAAATAGAGAGATACTAAAACGAGTGCACCCAGACTCATACATCTTAGTTTGACTCGAGGCTCATTTGTAATTAATGACCTGCCTATGTTATATTTATAAAAAACGAGAAAATGGGACACACCTATTAACTGCATTCTCTAAAGACACATGCGTAGCACCCACTGGGTTTTTCAGTCAGTAATAAGAGTTATTTTCTTTTGAATCCTTAATGTTGAGTTTATAGGATTTAAAAACAAGTGAATATCTTTCCATCTTTTCTGACTTCTCCCAGTGTAATGTGCTTCGAAGTCAGCTATGTAACACAGTTACAATTTATTATTCAGATCCATTTGAGATGTATGTGATAAAAGTATTTCATTGCTGATAGCCGATTTGGAGCAAGTTTATCTTTTGATACTTAGCAACTATTGTCAGTATCTCACTGCTGTACAGTGCATGCAACCAGTCAGTAAAACCAAAACAACAAACCCTGGGAGATCCATTCACTGCAACACCCCTTTTTATCACTGCTGACACACTGTGTCTCCAAGAACCTGCTTCGCTGTGAGAGGAACTGGAAAAATCAATCCTAAATTAATCATGATTACTTTAGCGCTGTATTGAAAAGACACAGCTGGCTAATTATGTGTAAGAGAGTAATAGGAAGCTGAAAATGTGGTTCCTTCAAAGTGGCAATTTGTCATCATGCATTTTGGACACAGCACACTGCGCTTTTTATTCCAGCTGAGATGCTCAGTTATTACTGCAGCCCTTGCTTTGATGGCTGGCACAAATGTTTCTCTGTTTTTTGTGACAAGCACAAACTCTGATTTCCTTTCTAATCATTCCACAATAATCTTGATAAAGTCTAATCAAGCCACTGACACATTAAAGAAACCTTTAAAAGTCCCTCTCAACTAAACCATCCTCCACTTTCTGCCCCTCACCTGTTCTGCTGCCTCTGGGTCCAGGTGTGTGTCCAGAAGGGGAACGGTGAACTGTATCTTCCTGGGGCTCCTGGTGTCCATGGTGGCTCTGACTGTCACAGAGGATGACTGGATGAAGAAGAGGAGGAGGGAGAATCCGTCAAGTAAATGAGGGTAAATAGCTCAGAAGGTTGTCTGAAAATAAGTGGGCTCCAGCTTATAAAAAACTAAGATGATGGTATAGTTTCTGTCTGACTATTTGTTTTACTTTGATCTTTTAACTCACTTTTCCCTGATTTCCTAGCTCTTTCTTTGGCACCCTGTCTGTTTCTATCCTCTGCACCTGCTGGTGTCTCTATCCCGGCTTCACTCTTCTTCCTCTCTGTCTCCCCCGGCTCTCAGCGCTGAGGCAAGGGCATTCTGGGCTGAAACACCTCTCCTTCGCTCTCATAGGCTGAGCCTGGCTCCCTTTCTAGCAAGCCCCTCCCCCTGTTCACATTTCCTTCTCTCTGTATTGGATGTCTGAGATCAGGGCTGTTCTGCAGCAGCCACTGCACAGACGGGAGAGAGAGGATGACAAAGACATATTCTCTTTCTCTCTCTTTTCCCTATTTATTAGATGGGTAGGAAAAGATGCATGATCCAGCCTCTGCTTTAAGAGAAAGTCTTTTTTAAATCAGCTTCCCACCCATTGTGTAATATAAGAGGTTCTCTCAGTCTTCCACACTTAAGTTATGTACCTACACAGTTAAAATGTTATCTGTAAGTCACAGTCAACATGTTGGTATTTCCTATGTTTTATTGAAGGATACATTATTCGCTCAAACTGTAAAGCTGATAAAGCTGTGAAATGATCATCTGATCTTTGTTATACATCTGACCAGGCTTGTCCTCGCTGCAGCATGGCCAGCACAATCTGTATTGATTGAGTGTCCCTACATCACACTGATACCTGACACCAGCAAAGAGACATATGGCTGCTGTATGTGTCAGATAATCAGTGCATATTGAGGGTTTAATGTGAACAAACCTGAACATGACATCCCCAGAAATATCATTTTGTAAGCAAACGTGTCAGATAAATGTTAACCTGAATTCCATAGTTCAATCATGTTAAGAATCAAACTTTCATTCAATATCATTCAGTATATACTGTTCTCTGACTGTATAAGCAACATACATTGGACATTAGGACATTTTGCCAGATGAGACAGACAGGAAATATGAGAAAGAGCAAGAGAAGAAGGAGGGTGTTTCTCCAAACAACAAAACATTCCCAGCTGGATCAAACAAGGCACAGTTCGGCCATATGGCACAAGCCCCACAAGGCCACAGGGGGACTTTAAATGTGTGACTTTTTTTGCCTATACAGTATCTCCTCATTGATTGTAACTGGATGGAATAGGAAAGCCTACAGTAAGCTGGAACAAAAGAGGATATTTTCTTCGACTGACCTGAATAACTCCCTTCCTCTATATCCATGTATAAATAAATGAAGACAACATCAGAATCCTTTTTTCTTTTTCTATTTTTTGACTCAGCCATTATTGTGCTCTGCTAGAACTTCAAACAAACCATCAGGTTATTTCTTTCAAGCTGAAAAGGAAGGCGTGGTTTTGATAAGATTTTCCTGAATTGTGTGTATTCTTTCAAGCAGAGATGTGTGTTAATAAAGGACCACATGCTCTGAGAGAGAGAGAGAGAGAGAGAGAGAGAGAGAGAGAGAGAGAGAGAGAGAGAGAGAGAGAGGAGAAGAGAGAGAGATAGAATAGCAGAGATAGGAATCTCTCGCGACTCTCTTATATAGAAGATATCTAGAATCTCTCTATCTCTCTTATCTTCTACTCCTTCTCCTCTCATCTCTCTCTCTCTCTCTCTCTCTTCTCCTCTCTTCTTCTGCTCTCTCTCCTCCCCTCCTCCTCCCCTCCCACCGCCCCCCCTCCGCCCCCCACCCCACACACACAACACACACACACAACAAACACCCACAACACAACACAACACAACACAACACAACACAACACAACACAACACAACACAACACAACACAACACAACACAACACAACACAACACAACAGCTGGCTGCTTATTCTCCCATAAAACCTCTTTCCTGAAGGAAACACATTAGTATAATTGTACAGTTGGTGTTATCTCTTAGTAACAGCATGTTTGTGTCTCTGGTTGAGCAAACTTCAAAGAAAACAGCCCACAGCCACGCATCTAGTCTCCAACCGATTGGTTAAGGTCCTCTGTTAATGAATGTTGTTTCATTACCAAGGAGGTTTTGTTTACCGCTAGGTTTGTTGGTTTGTCAGCAGGATTTAAAAAATAAAATAAAAATACTGGGCCGATTTTCCATATAGGAAAAACCCCATTTAATTTTGCCGTGGAAGGGTGTGGGGGGGGGGGGGGGGTATACGCATTATCTTTCACTTATGAAAACAGCCTTGGTGGGCGTCTGCACTCTCCAAATGCCCTTCTAATCATTTTATGTTTTTACAGCCCCTGCCAAACGTATTCATTTTCATCATGCTTCATGTAGAGAGGCTTTACTGTTGCTTTTTAAACTCAAACCACAATCTCTTTATTATTTTGTGTTATTCTAAGCTATAGTGTTAAACCTTGTACGTTATATAGAGAAACGATAAATGGCCGCTTAAGGACATAAACACTACTTCATCTAACCAAACAATTAACATGAAGGTAAACTGCCTCCATTGTCCAGCCAAAAATGTAATTTCATACTGTAGCCTACAAGTAAAAACATTTGCATGTATTTTCACAACTGTTCGAGACAGTCATTGGTTTCCATTCATTTTTATTTTGGTTGTAAGGTATTTGAATAGAAACTTGCTAGCTCTGATTGAGGAGTATGATCATACTATGTTTCAAAATCCTGGATCATCCCATCATCTCACTGAGCTTTTAGTAACTCGGCAGCTCAATAAAAAGTGAAAACAGTGCATAAGTTACAGAAAAACGTGAACAATTCAGATCAAGAGTTCTTCCTTTAAATGTAATACAAGTATGTTTACTAGGAAGATGGCACCAGGTTTCTTGTTTAGTTTTTTGACTACTGTCTGTAGTGCAGTGCATTCATACCTGCCACTGGAAGCTTTTTAATATCCGTTAAACACCCTCAGAAAAGATCTGCAACGTATTTGAATTTTGATTACTGCTAAAAAGAGCTTAAAGATCCATTCATCTATCCATCTTCTCCCACTTATCCGTGGTCGGGTCGCGGAGGTAGGAGTTCCAGCAGAGAGCCCCCAACTTCCCTTTCCCTGGCCACATCAACCAGCTCTGACTGGGGGATCCCAAGGCGCTCCTAGGCCAGTGAAGATATATAATCCCTCCACCTGGTCCTAGGTCTGCCCCTCGGTCTCCTCCCAGCTGGACGTGCCTGGAACACCTCCTTAGGGAGGCGCCCAGGTGGCATCCTTACTAGGTGCCCGAACCACCTCAACCGGCTCCTTTCAACGCGAACGAGCAGCGGTTCTACTCCGAGTCCCTCCCGGATGACTGAACTTCTCAGGGCCGTCCCTCCCTACAGGCCGATCATGCAGACTGCGTGGGGCCTCACCTTGCGGAGGGGGCCTCATCTTGCGGAGGGTGCCTCAACTGAGCCGAAAATGCAGCGCACCTATGCGCTTATGCGGCACAATTAGTGTGGCGCGGCACGGCTTCGCCGCTGCGAGGCTCCACTCGCACATGACACGATTTGACAAGATGCCCTCACGAGTGGCCCGATGTTGTTACGATCAGAGCCGAATTTGAACATTTCCTTTATCGTGTGTCCATCTGGTTGTTTTATTGCACAACAAAATTGTCACGGTTTTGGATTGTTTTCTTTTCCACCTTTTATTTTGAAATGTTTTCCTCCTTGTGTCTTGTCTGATCCTTCTTCCTGTGTTTGCTTTCCTGTCGGTAGTTTCCCTGGTGTGTCTGATTGTCTGATTGTGTTCACCTGTTGCCCTTGTGTTTCTGCCTCCCCTGCCCGGCTGTGTCTTGTCCTGTGATTACCCTTCTGTGTATTTAGTCTTGTCTTCCCCTGTGCTCCATGTTGGTTCCTTGTATTTTTCTCACTCTCCATGTTTGTCACTTGTCTCATGCTACCTGTTTATGATTCTCGGTTTTCGTCTAGTTTTTTCAACAGCTTTGTTTGATTAAAGCTCGCTTTTGTTTTGAAACCCGCTTCTTTTTTAACTGCATTTGAGTCCTAATTTTCCCCGATCCTGACAGTACGAACCAACCAGTAATGGACTCAGCAGTTTCTTTTTCGTTGGCTCAACAGGTGGATCACCTCAAGTACGCCCTAGACTCTAGAGTACATTTTTTATACTTGGTTGGCAGCCTCATCCAGATGGGCTAAAGGGGCTGCTTTGAAGGAGGCACGCCAGGAGGTTGCTCGCAAGCCCTGGCTCAGGAGCTCGTTGCCTGGGTGGCTTAAAACTTTTACAAGCAGCCCCGAAAGCTTGTCTCGAGCCTCTGACCCTTTCTTGGGGTCTGGCCTGGCCTTGGGAGGTCCGCGGATCCTCCGGAAGGTTTCTGGGAGATGCAAGGCCAGGATACCAGCCCGTGCTCCAGCAGCTCCAGCAGCTCCAGTGCCGGCCCCAGCAGCCATGTTTCCGGCTCCAGAACCGGTCCACACAGCCATGATCCAGGCTTCAGTTCCGGTCCCCATAGCCATGGTTCCGACTCCAGAACCGACCCATACAGCCATGGTCCCTGCTCGACTCAAGTCTCTTCTCAAGTCACCTCTCGAGTCTCCTCTCGAGTTCCCTCTCAAGTCTCCTCTCGAGTCTCCTCTCGAGTCTCCTCTCGAGTCCCCTCTCGAGTCCCCTTTCGAGTCCCCTTTCGAGTCACCTTTCGAGTCTCCTTTCGAGTCTCCTTTCGAGTCTCCTCTCGAGTCTCCTCTCGAGTCTCCTCTCGAGTCCCCTTTCAAGTCACCTCTCAAGTTCCCTCTCAAGTCCCCTTTCAAGTCACCTCTCGAGTCTCCTCTCGAGTCCCCTTTCAAGTCACCTCTCGAGTTCCCTCTCAAGTCCCTACCCAATGTCCTGGTCCGTTGGAGGCCCCGCCGACTACTCTTCTGCCGGGGGTCCTGCCAATCCTATGTCCTGTGCCGTTGGGGGTCCAGCCGACACCTGTTTCGTGGGAGGTCCTGCCAACTCCATGTCCTGTCCCGTTGGGGGTCCCGCCGACTACTCTTCTGCCGGGGGTCCTGCCAACCCTATGTCCTGTGCCGTTGGAGGTTCCGCTGGGGGTCCTGCCAACTCCATGTCCTGTTTTGTTGGGGGTCCCGCCGACTACTCTTCTGCCGGGGGTCCTGCCAAGCCTATGTCCTGGGCCGTTGGAGGTCCCGCCGACTACTGTTCTGCC